GCGCCCCGCGCGCTCCGGGACGGGCTTCCCCCGCCGGGCAGCCCCGCCGCGCTGCACCGGGCGCACGCCCAGCCCCGGCTCGCCCTGCCGCAGACCCCCTGGCCTCAGCCCTGAAGCGGATGACAAGCTGGTGGGAGCTGTTTGCTTTGCAATAAGACTCGGGGGTCAGTGCGTGAGCCGGTGAAGAACCTCGTTGGAGAAATTTTTAAGATCCTTTCATTTAAAAAAAAAAAAAAAAAATTAAATAACCTTTGAGCGCCACGCCACGCATCAAATTGATACTTCCGTTTCCCATTTTGACCACTTATGAGAGAAAATGAAGATGGAAAAGAAGAAGCAGCCAGCAGCCAGATGGGGTGGGTGTAGGAGCTCTGATGAAAAGGAAACCAGAAAGAGAAGAAAAGGGGGAAGGGGGAGAGCAGTGCCTGAGGCCCTGGCAGCCAGGCTGGCACTGGGCACCAGCTTCCAGGGGGCTTCAACTCTACCTAACTTAGAGACAGGCCTTTGCTTGAAAACATGCCTTTATACTAAGATTTCCAAATACACAATATCGACATGTGGCTTGAATTTCCCGTCACATCCTGGAAGTCTTGCATACACACGCAAAGAATGATCAGCAATAATGTTCTGCAGAGGTAATCCTGGTGTCTATTGCCTAAAACCCCCTCTGGTATTCAAACTCTGTCAGGGTGATTGGTTTTTATTACCCACGAGGCTTTGCTTCATTCCATCTGTTTGAAAGTTTTATTGGAAGCCACGGTGATTTCTATAGTTCAAGGCTCAAAAAAAAAAAAAAAAAAAAAATTCAAATACCTTTTCTTCTTTAGTTAAGCCCTGGTGATTTACAATATAATAAGAAGAAAAACCCTCTAAATATATTGATCTGAGTACTGAATAATACTCTAGTTTTTCAAGGTAATAGCGCTATTTTGGCAGATAAGAGGAGAGTTACTATTGCAATCCCCTGATTAAGTAATTACTATATTCAAACTCGGGCTTGGCTAATTGCCGGGTCTACAATCTTGCCCTGTAAACTGAAAGAAATTAAAGAGAAAAACATACGCTGTAAACGGCGGCCCAATGCACACAGCACTTTTGCTAGGGTCTACAGTCCAAGGCTGTCTGTCTAGGCCACAATGTAAAAGTATCAGCAGTATTCTATATTCACTAGATGCGATTGTCCTCTCGGAGGCTTACTGCCTCATCTGCCACCCTAGGCCCAGTCCTGGAAGCTGCTAGCCTCCATACAATCTAATCTAGGCCTAGAATGTTTTCAGCCTCTGAGACTTAACTGCTGAATAAGCTCACCCTTTTTTAGCTCTTTCTGAATTCTGGCTGGCTGGTTCAATTCAGCTGCTCCGGCTCAAACTCAGTGCCAAGCCGACTGATTCAAACTGGCTTCTCTCAGCTTCTGACTGAATTGCTCTGCTTGGCCTCAAGCTAACTGGAGATATGTTCTAATCTTCTGGCTTCTTATTCTCTGGCTCATTCTGTCTTCACCTGTGTCTAGCTTGCTCTCTTGCTCGCTCACTCTCTCACTCTTTCTCTCTCTCTCTGCATAACTGTCCAGGTAAAACTGTCTCCTCTCCCCATCCTCTATGCTCTCTATCTCTCTATGCTGCTCTTTTAGAGAGTCCCCTATCTCTCTATGCTGCTCTTTTAAGTCACCTCTTTCCTCTCTGTTCTTGTGAGCTGAGAGTTCTTTCTCTGATTCCTCACTTCGCCTGCCTCTCAATTAGACATTAGACATCACTTTCAAACACAGCTGCTTAGTTCTACAAACTAATCTTACTTTCATCATTTGGGATTAAGGGTGTGTCTGCATTTCAGCCGGATTACACTGACCTAGAAGGTCTTTGGATGTGATCAGAGCAGCCTTGCTGCTGGATTAAAATTCCTCTAGAGCACAAAACAGTATTATCTAACATTAAAGGAGAATGAAGTTTCTTCAACTTCATGTAGTGCTGTATTTAATCTCAAACAAAAATAATAATTTGTACCTAGAAGGCAACTTTTCAACCATTTGCTCACCCGTCTATACAGAGGAGAAAACAGGGGCTGGGGAAAGTTCAAGTTTGTCCAGGATTATGTATGCCTACATTGAAATGTGTCTGTCTTTCCTTTTGACGTTTAGACCTGTCCTTGGGCTTCTGAAAAAATATATATATATCCCTCACAGTGGTTCATCTCACAAGACACCTCTGCTTTTTTTTAATTTTAACTCATTTCTTCTTTTCTGTTATTTTTGTTCCTTCTTTACTCCCCATTTCCTCCCCCCATACACACAATGATTCAAATTATATTTTAATGATTTAAATTATATTTTAGAATGGTGAATTATACAAAGCTTTGGAGATTGCTAGTTTTTATACTGGAAATGTATAGTCAATTTATTTTTCCAGTTACACACTTGCCTGGTTCAATAATATTTGCGAGTCGCTTCTGGTTCTTGCCTTTGTTTTGTGTTAGTTCATTCAAGCTGATATAGCAAGCAAATAAATAAATAAATAGTAACACTAACTTTACGGGGGGGGGGTGATTTCTCACAGCTCTGAAGATCCAGGAATAAAAACCAAGGGCTAACAGACTCAAAGGCATGGTTCACAGGCAGCCTTCTCGCTCGGTCCTCATACTGTAGTGAGGATGAGAGGGCCTGTTGGCATCTCTTATATGAAGACATTAACCCTATTAAGACTCTGCTGCTGTGACCTAACCACCTCCCAGAGGGTCCCCTTAGTGCCACCACACTGGGTAGCAGGATTTCAGCATGAGAACTTGAGGAAGAAAAAAATAAATAAAACCGGTTTAGTCTATAACAACTTTTAAATTACATGACATACAGACACTCTAAGAAATCATGAAACATAATTTTTTTTCAAAATGCCTTTCCTTTTCATTGTCAATATAGCATGTGGTCCAAACTCCCCCTTTTAGAGAACAGTCACCTCTATTATATTATCCCTACTCGTGGTGGGGTATGTTTCCTAAGATTTGCTAGATTTTTAATTTATAAGCTGTCACAATGCATAAACATGGTCATTGAAAACCTTTGCCTTCTTCAGCATTACCTTGTGCATGTTGACTTTAAGTTTCATCTATCATTGTATTATTCTGAAATTCTGACAGAACAATATGGAATTCTTGCAGTTTTCCTCCAGCCTTCACGGACAAATAATTGTATCCTAATAAAAATGCTAAAATCTTTCATCTGTTTCTCAATGCTTTTCTTATGAAGAAAATTGAAGATCTAGATTCACAAAATATTCACAAAATACAGAGGCACTCGTCTGAATTTGCTGCCCATCCTTTCAGTCCTGGGTCCGTTTAACATGTGGACCAAGGTGTTGCTTCCTTCCTGTCTCCTCCCCCTCCTCACTCTGTCACTTCTACTAGAGATAATAAATGAAATGTTGGCATCTAAATCAAATCACATCTTCAGTCTGTATCCCTTTTTATTCCTTTCATTAAGGGAAACCACAACTTTAAAAGATACAAATCCTCAAGCAAACTCATTGCCTATAAAAATCATTCTCATGAAATTGTCCACGAAGGCACCTGGGAAAACAGCTTTCTGACGTTTCCAGCTGGCAGTCTCCTGCTTTCCAAACTGCTCTGGGAGAGTGTGGAAGAACATTGCTCTGAAATGTGAATTCTCATCTTTCCTATGTACCCTTAGCTCTGCAACGTGAATTCTCATCTTTTCTATGTGTCCTTCCTCCCTCGAGGTACTCAGCTGTCTCATCTGAATGCGTGTCCTTTATGTCCCACATGGCCATACTTAGGACATAAGCTTAGGACCATTTGTTTTTCCATAAACCAGAACATTCTGGCAATCTAGGCTTACTTAAGGAACAAAAGGTAAAGCTCCCTCTGCCAAAGGGCTCATGGCAACTCATCACTCAGACTAGCATGCTCATGACTGCCTGCTGGGGTTCCAGTGATTTCCCAGACTCAAGCAGCAGGCTTCTTTGGTATAAGGCTACTTCTTCCTTCTCCAAATTTTTCAGCCTTTCATTTTAATGTCCCATTGCCCAACTCAAATGAATTAATAATATGGGTGTCCTTTGGCCCCAGAATTAATAAGAAAAGGTAAAATGGGTATAGTATAAGCTGGGCATCTCTTTATTTGGCAGAGACTCAAAGACTCATTTTAGATGTTTTTCTGGATTTTGTGTTTCTGTATGTATAATGAGAAGCCATTCCTGGCACATTCTTTTAATATTTCCATAATCATGTATCTGTTCCCTATTCGTAAGCACTGTGCTAAATGCTAATGGGGGCAGATAATCTGGGATAATCTGAACCACAAAGAGTTCAGATTATTTGATTATTTGTCTATGCATATTGAGATATCTTAGGGATGGGGCCTAAGTCTATACATGAAACCCCGTCATGTTTCATATCAGCTTCAAAGCCTAAAGGGAGTTCTATGTAATACGTTCAGCACACCTGCCTCTTA